CTACCTGGCTAAAAGTGGAAGAAAGGCATCAAAGGCAGCAGACAATGCAAGTGTTGAGGACAGGAACACTATTTTGTATTTTAGGGCTTAAAAAAGGTTTAACATACATATATAAAACATGATAAAAAGTGATAACCATAAGCATCAAGTAACCATCCACACTTTAAACTCATCATAGTCTCATTTATAGCCAACAACCCAAATAGACTTTGTTGAGTCACAAGCCAGACATTAATATGTATGATGCTACGGTGGGGAGGTGATGAAGTCTCAACATGTTTCATGAACCAACGGTTTACTTCATCAGGTGAACATAGGAAGATGAGTATCTAAAAATGTACACACACACATTTTATTTATTATTTATAGCTCATATATAAAGATTATACCGTCATAAAATGACAATACAACTTAAGCTTACATATCTAGTTTTGTAGAGGTCCATACATGAGGTGGACAGTCAAGTCATGACAGCCATGACTTTGAAAAATACAAACAAGGCAATTCCTTCCAACATCAATCACTCGCCAACCACAGACCCTCTTCATTAGGAGTCGGGCAAACTGCATAGATATTCAGGAATTATTGTTACAAATGACATCACAAGACAAAATTATGAACCACAATAAAAATGGTAAATTATTTAGGGTACTCAGCAATACCGAATACTGATACTGGCATCCCAGGGTGCCGTGGGCCCGGCTTATCAGGAAGCTGTGTTCTATTGAAAGACCACCGGCTTCACGTTCCGAGGCAAACTGGCTTTCTGAGCAATCAGGAAGCCGGGCGGTATGTCACAACCCGCCTCTTAACCCATCATGACCAATCAGGAAGCAGGGAGGAGGGTCATGACATGCCACCCGGCTTCCTTATTGGTCAAGATGCCAGGCTGCCTAGACACAAGTGAAGCCAGCTTCCTTGCCAATTGGGAAGCCGGGAGGAGGGCCATGACGTGCCACCCGCCCTCTTGATTAGCTGGGAAGCTGGCTCCCTCACGGCACTGCGGGTCAGAGGGAGTCTCCCTCTGGCCGGAAGTTCCGGTATCTGAAAAAGTATCGGAGCATTTGGGTGCATACGAGTACTAGTATTGGTATCGGTACATTCCTAATAATAATTATGTTGTGAGGCGGAAGTTAAAAGAGAACTATGGGGTAAGTGTTTTTCCCCGTAGTACTCTTAAGGTTCACCGGAGGTCATATGCTAGCGTCCTCCTGTGACCTAAAGCTCAGTATATCACGACCTAAAGCTTGCGGTATACTGAGACCGCCGCAGCCGGGACGGATCCCGACATTACTGTCGAGCTCCACCCAGATGCGTGAGTGACCTCGGGCTCTGCCTATCTAGAGGCAGAGCCCGCTGTATCCACCCCATCCGTTCTACCACTCAGCGCTGGAGGATCAGAGAAGGGGGGGGGAAGGAAATCACTACAGGGAGCCGTGACTGACAGTCACGGCTCTCTGCAGGGACATGATCGAGAAGTGAGCGAGCGACGCTATGTGTTCGCTCACTTCCCGATCGATTGAGCCGACGTGTGACAGTTTCATTGGTCGCCCGTCGGCTTGAACTATGAAGAGGAGAGATTTTCACTCACCTCATAATTCTCCTTTAAAAGGGAACTAGAAAAGAATAAGGCAACAAATAATACAACTAGCTCAGCATATTTATAAAACAAGTAAATAAACTTTCAGACATAATAACAAAAATAATTTCGTAGCATAAGCAACACTTGGGGAATCCAGAGTTTTCAAGCTGGACCACTCACACGGGGCTTGAAGTGTTCTGGAAAATACATAATTTTTTGGTGCATCCACTGTCTTTTTCCAATACAAAGCAACAGAACTTTATTTATACATAAATATATATACACACACAGTGCAGCTGAGATCACATGACAACGCACATCAACCACATGTTGTAAAGTGCAATTACTGTAAATTAAACCTCATGTGTCTGAATGATACACTGCGTTGAAGCATTCATCGGATATTAATAATACAACGCAGATAAAAACAATAATTCATGAGGATTCACAGTCATGTCACCCAAGCTGATGACAAAGCCATATGGTCCAGTCCCTATAAAATGTATCTGAACCCATCGTATAACTATTACAGTGCTGGGAAGGTGCCTTGGGAAGACATCAGAGCACAGTATACGATGGAACACATCACCGGCTAGCTTCCTCACTTCATTGTGTTTACAATACACTCATGCCAAAACAATGACATAAAACCCTTATCCAAAACCAAAACAATAACACATTGGATGCCGTGTGCAATCTGAAAGACTTCTTCAGAGGCAGACGAGGGAAGTGAAAAATACATGCACAGTATACGACATACAGATGGGGGAGGGGAGAGTACTACAGATCATTGGAGTGGTGCCTAAATATGCATTGCCCAATCTCCCTGGTTATGGTTACCGTTACAGCTTGTTACAGGAGATACAGGGAGGGTTACACTGCATGAATTTTGTCTGAGACACCTGCGTGTCCGGTGCCCCGTTTGCACCACTCCGGCCGACAAAAGTTTCATTTTCAACCGACTTTTGTCAAAGGAGCAGGGATGACAATTATCGGCCAATCAGCTGCAATCACTGTCCGGGTATTCTGACAGCAGGCTGGCAGGGGAGTTCCTCCCATCCACGCTGTTTAGAATCAAGCATTTTGTATTGCCAGCTTTAGTATGATGAGATGAATAGAAACCTTAACAGCCGACTTCTTTCATTTGCTCCCTTTTGATTTATTGAATGCCATTGGACGCACTTTTTTCTATCGGTTTTGATAAGTGAAAGAACATACCTGTTGATGTTGCCAGAAATCCAGTGAGCTGATAACTTCCTGTGCATCCTGATTCTTAGCCCAAAGCTATGCAGGCGGCTGATAGACAATTGGCAATACTGCAAATTGTGCTCAGTTGCCAAGATCAACATGCCCTCACTTTACCGGTGAAGTTTTACAATGATTACCTGCAATTGATCACACACAGTAAAACAAGTGCGGTGGATGAGTTGTGGCCCGGAGCTCCCTGGAGAAGTCACTGGGTGGACTCTTCAGTGTTGTATTGTCCAGGTCATGTTTGACACATGAGAATGGGCCGTGTATCCCGGAGCCTTGGGATGTACAGACAGGTGAAGAACCAGGCAAAGAACCAGGCACTCACTCCACTGACTGCAGGCTCTGAAGCAGCAGCAAGTAAATCTGACCGGCCACAAAGGTCACAGAGACAATCACATGATGGTACAAAGTGATCATAGGCCCCGAGGGACTGCAAACATTTTTGTGTGATCACACGCAGATTATATTTTTGCATTATGAGACGTCTATGGGGCCATCTCCTACAGCCATAGACACTGGGGACACTCAACCCCATATATGCCCATGGGACTGTAATATGCAGGTGCAAGCCAGGACGCTGGATATAAACAAACAGTGTGGGGGCGGGCTGCGGCCATGGAGTCAAAGTAGTTGTGCATTTAGTAAGGTGGGAGGTTGGCTTAGGGGGCCCAAAAGGATACGTGTGCTTTGTTAATATCCTTTCATTGAAGTGAAGGTCTAGGGCCTGGCTCTGCTCTCCAGCAGGGGTACCTAGGTTACAAGATCAGTCGAACAGAATTAAAAATGCTTTGGCAAGAAAAACAAATCCCGAATATGGGGGGTGGGGGAGGGGGGGAGGGCATATTAATGTAGAATTCGGGAACCAGACTGCCCAAACCAGAAAAAAAAAAAAACAGACATTTTTTAGCAGCCAGCTCCATTGACCACAACTAGAGAAAACTTCAAAAGTTAGGCCCCAGCTATAGTTTTTTTTGGCAACCCGGCTCCTGGGATTTGTCCAGTCCTGCCTATATACATATGTCACGTGTGCATTAAGCTGTTTGCTTGGGGTTTAGCTCATAGGCAGTTTTTAGATGTTGAAGATTGCAGTATAGGTCATCTTGCTGCCTACTGCTTCACCAAACGTGGCCATACACAGGTTCAATGCCTGGTGAGAAAGGATGTCACCCACCTCCTCTACCAATCATCAACTTGTGTGTGGCCCACCTCCTGTTTTTTTAGACTAATGGATATCTGCCAGGAACTGTTGGGAGAGAAAAAGCCTCCAATGTGGTACACCATCTTCTACGACCACTCAACAATATGGACATACAACCATAGCTGTTAAATTGTGGCCACCAATGCCAAGCAGAAGGAACATCGGGTAAGCCCACTAGCATACCAGCAGCCAAACATGATATTCATCTGACTGATTGCACCCAATTCCCGGGGCAAGCTCCTTCAGCACCCAAGGCATAAAGGCCAAAGTGCACCCCCTGTTCTGGCCCAAAGTGAAAAAGCCAATGTACATCCCCATTCGCACCCAAGGTGAAAAAGCCAACGTGCACCCTCCATTTGTACCCAAGGTGAAAAAGCCAACGTGCACCCCTATTATCACCCAGGGCGAAAAGGCCAAGATGTGTCCTCGTTGGCACCCAAGGCTAAAAGACCAACGTGCACCCCATTTATCACCCAGGGCGAAAAGGCCAAGATGTGTCCTCGTTGGCACCCAAGGCTAAAAGGCCAACATGTGCCCCTGGTTTGCACCCAAGGTGCGTCCCCAAACTCTGAACTTCTTCAGCAGCATACCTTGCAGGTCCTACCCTTTTTGCCTCCCCTTCCTCCTGCTGAAGTCGCCAAGACCACCTCCTCTTCTTCCTACCCCAATGACGCCAAAATTCATCCCATTCTCCAATTTGACAGAACACCACATACACACACACGAGAAGCAGGCCCGGCGCCATCATTTCATATGACATAAACATGCACGCTTGCTTCTGCTGAGCAACAATGTTTATTTACAGAGGGGGAACAATATCGATCGGTCGTTGGAATCCAATGTATACGTACTAGTGATAACTCCGCCACACACGAATGCAAAACACACACCTAGTACAATAGCGTAACAATAGTTGAGAAGCAATAGAGCATGAAGGGCAAGCCCCATGCACCGGCCAGCTCTTACCTTGCCTGACAGCTGTAATAGGCACCGAGTCCCCGCAGTTCCTGACCATGTCCAGCACATCGTATCTGGGCAATCCTGACACCGGCAGCCCGGCCACCTCCAGCAGCAGCTCCCCTTCCTGCAGCTTGCCATCGCTGGAGATGAGCGAGTCGTCCACGACCCCCAGATAAAGGAACTCTCCGTACTCCGCTCCCCCCAGCACCGGCAGGCTGAGCTCTCCCTCCGATCCCTGGGTCACCGTACACTGGTGCACCCTGCCCGTCCAGTGGCTCTTCTTCTGGATCACTTTGGCCATCGTGTCCCCCCCACCCCCCCCCCCCCGGGAAAAGGACAAGTGTCAGCAGCAACTTTTTCCCCCGGAGCCAAGTGACAGATCGCACTCAAGTCATCACTCTGCAACTTTGTATCCAGATCGTCCGCCACAGCTCCTTCCTCTCCTCCCTTCCTCAGCCGGAGATCCACCCGGAGGACACCATGCCGGAACATCCACAAACTTTCCCCCAGCGATCCGGAGAGGAAGAGCCGCGGCCGAGACGTTTCCTATCCCGAGCGGCTCCTTTAAAGAGATACAAAGGTTCATTCCATCCCGTCCCGGCAGCGATCCCCGCACTGGCTGAGGGAGCTCCGGCGCATGCGCGGTGACAGCAGCGCACCTCTCCCTCCCCGTACACTCTACACACCAACCCTGCCCCCCCCCTCCTACAGGACACAGGCTGCCAGGTCCTAGAGAACTGGGTGCATGACACCCACCACCTCCACTGGGGGGACACCGACCCCCTGCCAGGGGGACTGCAATTCATCACAATGATCTATAGACATAGTAAAGCAGAAGAGCTCCAAATTAACACCCCTGGCTGCATGACTTCACTGAGAACATAATAATAATAACATAATAAACAGAGCAATACCAATAATAACAATAATATAATAATAAAAAAATATCAATAATAACAACACTAAAATAATAGTATACTAGGCTTCACTGGGATAGGGACAACATAATAATAACAACAACATAATAAACAGAACATACTAATAATGATAACAATATAAAAAAAGAGGATAATACTACTAATAACAACAATATAATAATAGTGATATACTGCGTTTCACTGAGATTTTTAATTAAATTAAAAAAATTAAAAAGTGATAAAAAAGAAAAAAAATTGTCAAATAAAAAAATTATAAAAAATTAAAAAGTCAAAGATAATAAAATAAATAAAACTTTAAAAAAGTAAAAACATTTATAAAAATAAAAAAAGTGATGAAAAAGTTTAAAAAAATAAGCAAAACATAAAAAAAACCCACCCTGCCTCCCCCGCCATCTGGTTGCCATTCTCCACTGGGGGAGGAGTTTGGCGGGGAGGGGGACACATTGAGGAACCTGATCTTGGGGCAGCAGAGAGAGCAAATCCGGCCCTGACTGCAAGTGCATTGCACGTTCTTTACACGTTCACGTTTGGCGCATGTTCACAGCACATGAAAACCTTGATCAGGGGATAAAGAAGGATTTCAAGTGATCCACCAATATTAGAAAATAAATGACTATAGTTTTTACCAACTGTCCCCAATTTCCTCCAGCTGTCCCAGTATCGCGACTGGAAATGGAAATTGTATTCCATGAACATGGTCCTGAAATGTGTTCGCTGTCTAGTGATATTCTCTGATTTGTGGTACAGAAAAATCAACTATAATTCAGAATAATGAACTCCCCCCACGGGCAGGGTACATACCGTAGTGATGTACGGTGATCTGGGTTGTCTATGACACACCTGAATACACAAGATAAACCAGAACGGCTGGACTCTAAATGGTTGCTGGTGGGGAAAGCCGGAGTTCAGTTTGCAGGCGCATTGATAAACGCGTCTCTTTTGTGCGTCAGGTATATTAATCAGTGAAAACCCTTTTCCCTTAGGTAATTGTGTCGCACATAACACTGACACCTGACTATTCTCTTGGGAAATGAGTGGATATGCAGATTTATTGCCAGAGGCAGGGTCAGGGATGTCACCGGTTCAGACCATGGCGGAGTCATCCTCTGACCTATATCAGCTTCCATTAGAACATTGTCATAGAGATGTTGGAGGGGCATTCGTTATCTGTAATGGAGTGAGAAGGTAATTACTTGCCGCTTTCAAAGAATACAGCTTTTGATCTTCATATTTCACCTTTTTCAAGTTTGGGGTTTAGTGAGCCGCTAAAGTGATCCTTCGCTGGAGTTAAAGCGGACGCAGCATTGGAAGAGCAAGTATTGTATACGTGTCAAGCTGGCCAAACATTTCCTACCGTGTTAGAATTTCCTACTAACACGGCCGAAAAGTAACCATTGAATGCCCCTCCCTAGACTCCCCTTCCCATTCGACAAATTTTAGATGTTTCAGCCGGTCTGAAAAATCTCAGATAACAGTACCTGCAGCCAATCAGCACATTCGCTGCTCTCAGAATACAATAGGCAGAGGAAGCGGGGGAGAGTTTTTTTCTTGCATGCATGATATTGGAAAGTCTGACATGCCTGCTGCACGCTTTTCCAATCAATAAGGCCTGGTTCATACTTTGCGATCCCTGTACACGCCAAGGAGGCGGTACGAAAAATCTCGGTTAAACAGCACCTGCAGCCAATCAGCACATTCGCTGCACTTAGAATACAATAGACTGGGGACATGGGGGAGAGGGTTTTTTTTGCATGCATGCATGCATGCATGACATTGGAAAGTCTAACAATTTTCCAATCAATAAGGTCTAGTTCATACCTGGTGATCCATGAACGTGCCTTTGTGCATGCTCACGAGCGGTTTTGGCGCAGTTGTCGCACATCTGCCCATTCATTTCAATGAGCTAATGCACGGCAGACACCACAAAGAAGCTCATGCAGCATTTTCAGCTGCGTGTTTCCTAAATTTTTTGACCAGGCGTTTGACCCACATCCACACGCGGACAAAAAAATCATTTTCCCAGCTGCATTTGGGGTGCCATTAACAAGTATTGACACTGCAAGCACGACGTGTTATTGCCACGTTGCATGAACGCACACGTTCATGGAACGTGAAAGTGTGAACTAGGCCTTATGCTCTCGCACAGTTGCTGGTGTGCATTGCCTGATACAGTGCTGATGCACCCATCCTGGCGCATCTCTCTGCTCACCTTTGTTTGTTAGAACATTATTAAAATGTTCCAAATGACTTTCCTTAAGTTCTATGGGCACAGCAGGTGGTTGTACCGCATTGCACCGCCCTGAGCTGAAAAGAGTACAGCATGCCATACTTTTTTTCAGCGCACACCACCGCAACATGGTTGTGTGAACTGAGCCCATCTGGATCAAGGCAAATTGCCTTGTCTACCTGTTTTTTTTTTTTACCAATGCATATGGTGTGAATGCAGCCTAAGCCGCGCACTTTATATCACAGTGACACTTTGGGGTCTATTTTTAATAATGAGCTGCAAATATATTAATCTTTTTCTTTTTGGGTTTAGATATGCTTTAGATTTGGTACGATTTTTGTGCCTGGAGTTGGGCTTTAAAATCGAGTCATCAGCAATTATTATTATTATTTAGGTCAGGATTTATATAGCACAGTTTGCACAGCGTTTAACAATACAAGGAAGCAGTGGCGGAACTATTGCCATAGCGACCCAGGAGGCTGCTATGGGGCTTGGGGCACAGGGGGGCCCGGCCAGGACGTGAAACAAAGGGGTCCCTTTGATGCCGTGCGGGCCGCCTGGGTCGCTATGGCATCGCAGGCTGCTGGCTGTCACTGGTGGCTGTGAGGAGGAACGCGCCGCTGTTCAGATCACTGTCAACCTGTCATTGCTGAGCCTGATGAAGGGGACCCTGCGCGGCCCCCAAAGCGCTAGTTTTGGTGACATGACGTTCTTTGGACTGCAATATTGTTGGTGTGCTGGTGACCATTTATTTTGATCTGTGCAGCGGCGCGTTCCTCCTCACAGCCGCTGCTGAGTCAGTGACAGCCTGCAGCTGCGCAGGAGGAGGGTGGGCCCGGCGTCCGGCAGTGGAGGAGGAGGCAGGGCCCGGTGCCGGCAGCAGAGGAGTTGGGGCACGGAGGAGAAGGCAGGGCCCGCCAGCAACCGTGGAGGAGGAGGAGGTAGGGCCCGGCGCTGGAGGAGGCTGACAGAGGATCGTGGCTGACAGGTAAGAGATGTGCAGGGGTGTGCCCAGCCCACCTGAGACCCTGCAGAGCCCACCATAGAGAGTTTATGGTGGGCTCTGCAGGGTCACTCATAGTTGGGCTATTTGGGCTCTGCAAGGGGCGTAACTAGAAATCACAGAGCCCCATACAATATTTTGCTATGGGGCCCTGTGATTTCTAGTTATGCCCCCGTAAGGAAGACATTACAGTTACAATACAAGCCAAGGAGGGCCCTGGCCATGAGAGCTTACAATTAGGTTCCCTCATTTAACAACTGCATGGGCAAACGTGAGCATTTTAGGAACAGAAAGCTGAATATATCTCTAATGAAGGTGGAATAGTGAGGTGCAATATTTTTCTACACAGCCAACATTCTATCAAGTAATTACATAGACGAAGCCTACCAAAGGCCACCCAAAAACAACATCTAACACAGAATAATAGGCCATAAATATCAGACACCCCATTTTATGAGTAGTTAAGGGAAAGTTTACTTGCATATTGCTTAATGTTATAGGTTGTTCTCTCATATAAAGTCACTTTTGTGTTTTGGCTCTTTGGAGCTTTGAATTTCAGAGTAACCACACGGGAGAACCACAATGGTTGTTAGCCATGAAGAATGCAGGTTTGATGTGGTTTCGCCGGCTACAACAAACAGCCAAACTGCACTAACAAGTTTTATGTGGCAATTAGTTGCCACATTGTTGCTGCTTTAAGCTAACCCGCAGTGACCGTGCCTCCAAATGAACGCTGATTCCCATTTGCGATATTCATTTAACGCAACTTGCTGTATGTAAAGCTTGTGCAGATCCAAATAGCAGGTGTTTCCCTTGGTCAGGCTTTAATCTATCGGAGGTAATATGATTCTGTAGATACTGTTGGGCAATACTTTGTTATGCTAAGTTCCAGTCAAGGGGCTCTTTATAATCACACTCTAGACAAATGGAAACATTTTGCATAGAAACCGAATAAAAGGTCATAGCCATCCGAGTAATATTTACATTGGTTTGTACACAGACTGTTCCGTGCGTTAAACCCTATAGCTTCCTATATCATTGAAGGCCAATTCACACTTCAGCAATCTTTGGGGTGCTGTAACCCTTTCCCTGCCAAGGCATTTTTTTGCACACATGTTATGATCCACATTTAGGCCTGAAAATTTACTTAAAACCCCCAAAACATTATATGTATGTATTCCAGAAGCAAAGACCCTGTAGAATAAAATGGTGGCAGCTGCAAATTTTTTATTGCATAATATTAGCGCAACTTAT